TCACAGAGGTAGAACAAGTAATCCTAAAATTTGTATGGAACCAGAAAAAATCCTGAATAGCCAGAGGAATGTTGAAAAAGAAAAGCAAAGCTGGTGGCATCACAATGCCGGACTTCAAGCTCTATTACAAAGCTGTCATCATCAAGACAGTATGGTACTGGCACAAAAACAGGCACATAGATCAATGGAACAGAATAGAGAACCAAGAAATGGACCCTTTATGGTCAACTAATCTTCGACAAAGCAGGAAAGAATATCCAATGGAAAAAGGACAGTCTCTTCAATAAATGGTGCTGGGAAAATTGGACAGCCAAATGTAGAAGAATGAAACCGGAACCATTTTCTTACACCATACACAGAGATAAGCTCAAAATGGATGAAAGACCTAAATGTGAGACAGGAATCCATCAAAATTCTTGAGGGGAACACAGGCAGCAACCTCTTCAACCTTGGCCGCAGCAACTTCTTGCTTGACACGTCTCCAAAGTCAAGGGAAACCAAAGCAAAAACAAACTATTGGGATTCATCAAGATAAGAAGTTTCTGCACAGCAAAGGAAACAGTAACAAAACTAAAAGGCAATGTATGGAATGGGAGAAGATATTTGCAAATAATATATCAGATAAAGGAATAATATCCAAGATCTATAAAGAGCTTGTCAAACTCAACACCCAAAAAACAAATAATCCAGTCCAGAAATGGGCAGAAGACATGAACAGACATTTCTCCAAAGAAGACATGCAAATGGCCAACAGACACATGAAAAAATGTCGGACATCACTTGGCATCAGGGAAATACAAATCAAAACCACAATGAGATACCACCTCACACCAGTCAGAATGCCTAAAATTAACAAGAAAGGAAACAATAAATGTTGGCCAGGATGTGGAGAAAGGGGAACCCTCTTACACTGTTGGTGGGGATGCAAGCTGGTACAGCCACTCTGGAAAACAGTATGGAGGTTCCTCAAGAAATTAAAAATAGAACTACCCTACAACCCAGCAATTGCACTACTAGGTATTTACCCCAAAGATACAAATATATTGATCTGAAGAGGCACCTGCACCCCGATGTTCATAGTGGCAATGTCCACAATAGCTAAACTGTGGAAAGAGCCAAGATGTCCATCAACAGATGAATGGACAAAGAAGATGTGGTATATATATACAATGGAATAATACTCAGCCATCAGAAAGGATGAATAGTTACCATTTACATCGACATGGATGGAACTGTAGGGTATTATGCTAATGAAATAAGTCAATCTGAGAAAGACAATTATCATATGGTTTCACACATATGTGGAATATAAGAAATAGTACAAAAGATCTTAGGGGAAGAGAGGGAAAACTGAATGGGAAGTCATCAGAGAGGGAAAAAAAACATGAGAGACTCTTAACTATAGGAAACAAACTGAGGGTTGCTGGAGGGGAGGTGGGTGGGGGGATGGGGTAATTGGGTGATGGGATTTAAGGAGGGCATGTGATGTGATGAGCACTGGGTGTTAAAAGCAACTGATGAATTACTGAACACTACATCGGAAACTAATGATGTACTATATGTTGGCTAATTGAATTTAAATAAATAAAATAAAATATAGAATGGAAAATATCAGAATGTACCCCACTTAGAAAGGATTAATACTTTCTAAATTATATATATGTGCACTGAGCTATAAAATAAAATGTATTTCTTACTGTGATGGTGGTCAACAGTTTGAAAAACAATGCAGAGGTCATTTACTTAAGAGGCAGCAATAGTGTGGTTAAAAGAGAAGGGGAGGGGTGCCTGGGTGGCTCAGTCAGTTAAGTGTCTGCCTTCAGCTCAGGTCATGATCCCAGGATCCTGGGATTGAGCCCCGCATTAGACTCCCTGCTCTGCAGGGAGTCTGCTTCTCCCTCTCTGTCCCTCCCCCCAGCTTGTGTTCTCTCTCTCAAATAAATAAAATCTTTAAAAAAAAATGAAAAAAGAGAAGGGGACGTGAAGGTCTACAGATCCGTGATGGAGTCCTAGCTTTGCTGTATCATCCCTCTGTGCAATGTATACTTCTAGCAGTATAGTGGGAAATTACCCTGAAAAACCCTTATTCACAAACACCTAGATGCTAGATGAATACCAAACATGTTTCAAAAGTATTGAGCTGAATTCAGGAAAGGAAGGGAAATTCCTGGGGACTAAACATGAAAAGGTGAACTTCAAGTGGGAAGGTGAATGTGTAGACTGGACTACTCCTTAGCAAATATTTACTACTTTCCCACCACCTCCTCAGGAGCAGAGTACCTCCTCTCTTGGCGTGGGCATGGCCATGGGATTTGCTTTGTCCAGAGCGATGTTAGCAGATGTGATGTAAACATAGGCTTAAAATGTCCTTGCATACAGAGCTTGCCTCTTTTTTTTTTTTTTTTTAGATTTTATTTATTTGACAGAGAGAGAGAGCTTGCGAGCACAAGCAGGGGGAGTGGCAGGCAGGGGGAGGGGGAGAAGCAGACTTCCTGCTGAGTAGGGAGTCCGATGTGGGGCTCGATCCCAGGACCCTGGGATCATGACCTGAGCTGAAAACAGATGCTTAACCAACTGAGCAAGGTGCCCCCAGAGCTTGCCCTCTTGAAGAACTTGCCCCAGGCAGCTGCTGGTCCATGGAAGATGAGGAATACGAGGAGCAGACCTAGATCTTACCAGTAATGTGAAGTGAACCTAGTCTATATCAGCTGAATCCAGATGTGTGAGAAATAAATGCTTATTATATGACACTGAATTTTGAAATGTGTGTCTGCAGCATTATCACTATGAAAGTTGACTTAGGACATGAGTTTGTTCTGGGGTCAACTGTCTGTTTTTTTTAAATTGAGATATAACTAACACATAACATATTCATTTCAGGTGTACAACATATTTATTCAACATAGTGTGAAATGATCACCACACTACGTCTAGTTAACATCCATCACCACACACAGCTACAAGATTGATTGATTGATTGATTGATTGATTTTGTGATCATAGATCAACAGTTGATACCAGAGACCTAGAATGCAAGAGAGGAAAGAAAGCAATTTTGGACCCATACAAACTGCAGAGTTGAAATTGAAATTCTCGCATACAGCTGGGAGTCCTGTGAAGAGGTGAGTTAGGAAAAAAAACAGGCCTGCTGCCAAAACCACACAAGGACATTCTAGGTGAAGGCTCCAGGTTCTTGTGATATTTTTGTTTGGTTTTGGTGTCAAGATAACATTGGCCTTCTAGAATGAATGGGGAAGTATTTCCTCGTCTTCTTTTTTAGGGGGAAGATTTTGTGAAGAATTGGTATTAATTTTTTTTTAAATGTTTGGTAGAATCCACCAGGGAAGTTAGCTGGTCCTAGGTTTTTGTTTGTGTGTTTGTTTGGGTTTTTTTTTTTTGGGGGGGGTAGGTTTTTCATTAATTTAATCACTTTACATGTCACAGGTCTACTCAGATTTTCTCTTTCTTCTTGCGTCAGTTTTGGTAATTTGTGTCTTTCTAGGACTTTGTCCATGTCCTCTATGTTATCTAATCTGTTGGCACAGAATTGTTCATAGTACTCCTTTATAAATCTTCTGTATTTCTGTAAGGCCGGTAGTAACATTCCAACTTTTGATCCTGACTTCAGTAATGTGAATCTCATGTCTTTTCTTGGTCTGTCTGACTAGAGGGTTGTCAATTTTGTTGATCTTTTCAAAGAACCATGATTTGATCTGAAATTCGTTTTTAAAACAAAATTCAGTTTTTTGGCATAGTTGGGTCCAGAATAAGAAATAAGATTGTACTTTAATGAAGAGTATAGCTGACTGATGGATGGAAAAATGGATCTCTTAAAGAACAGAGAAGAAATTAGAACTCAGCATTTCCAACACTTGACTTTGAAATTTGGTTTCTGGCTCCTTTTGCTCTGTTATTATTAAGATCCTACTGTATGGAGCCTTGGACTCCTCGGGCTAGTCACTTCCCCTTCCCAGTTCTTACTTTCCCCATCCACAGATAAAAGGGTAGTGGTCATATGAAAAAGAAAATGGTGGTCATGAAGAGCACTACTTACTGAGTACCACTTTGTGCTGGATCCTGTGCTGAGCCCCGTTAATGGATCTCACAAATCACAGGCACACAGCTGGAGAGGAACACATTCTTATACTAGAGGTGCTGGCTGCATGGGGTGACCATCTTTGCTGCCTCTGCTTCCTCTTGCCCAGGAAGTACAGCCTCCCTAATGCCAGGGGCTCACAAGCAGTCATCCCTGGGGTAGGGGAGGGTATAGAAACCCCAACTCCAGGGTAGCAAAGGGCCTCCTAAGCTCTAGCACACATCTCTTCTGGGGACAGGGTGCTCACTCACTACTGACACAACCCAGCGGGCCACTACCAGCCAAACTATTACACTGGAAGAGGTATCTCCACTTCATAAATTTATTGACCTTGTATGGAGCAGATCATAGGTCATTTTCTGGGTAGGATTAGCTCTAAGTCTGAAAGGCCTGGTTAGTGTCAGGGAAGTGGTCATAAAGACTTGCTCTGGAAAGATAACCTTGGGCAAGCCATTTAACCTCCCTGAGCCTGGGTTTCCTGATCTGCAATGAGGATGAAGAACATGTCCACAACAGACAGTGACTGGGCCCTTCCATGGGTCAGGCACTAAGATGACACTAGTCATTCAACTCATTCAATCCTCACAAGAGCCCAGTGAAGTGAGTCTTAGTATCACCTCCATTGTACACAGAAGAGAACAGAGATTCAGAAAGGATAAGTAGCCAAAGCCACAGAGCTAGTAAGTGGGGAGACAGCATCAGACCCGGACGTCTGACTCTATGCCCTAAGAGCTAAAATGTTATGACACTACCTTACAGGTTTGTTCAGACAACTTTGTGATGGTACAAAGAACCTAGCATAGTGCTCTAGAAGCACTCCTACTCCCTTCCCCAGAGTATGACCCAGGCTCTAAGACCAGCCAGGGCCCAGGGTGCAGGAGACAAGAACAACCCCCGATCCTACCAGGGCTCTCAGCAGCCCAGGGCAAGTAGCCCACTTCTTGCACTTTTCCCTCACATTTTCTGTGGATTATTACAAATGTCAGGAGGGAAGTAACCAACTGATCCTCTGAAACTTCCTTCCTTTCTCTCTCTGCATGTTCTCTCTCCCACTTCTGTTTGTAGCCTTTATCAGGCACAAACCTGGCTTAAGCTTGGTGAGACCACACTGGATATATCCTGGCTGGATGGCTGGATTTCTCAGCCCCTTCACCCCCAAAGCAGGCTCCCAATGCACCCAGTTCCCTCCAGCTCCCCCTGAGGGAAGATCCCCTGCAGGGCACCCTCCTTGTCCACTCACCCTGGGGGACTCACCCATGCCTGACACCCCCCAAGTCTCTCCCTCCAGCTCAGATTACTCTCCTGAGTTCCAGGCCCCTCCATCCAAATGCCTCACGGGCCAGCAGGCCTTAGAGGACACTCATCGTCTTTTCTCTAAAACCTGCTTCTCTCCTGGAAACAGCATCACCACCCTTCTAGCTACCTGAGGGAATTCAAACACTGAGGCCAGCAGGGAAATGCTGTGTCTGAGTCACACAAAGCCAGGGATCTCTAATCCAAGTCCAGGGAATAATCTAAGCTGCTCCTTAAGAGGTCCCAGTCTATCTGAAGTCCACGCAGAAAATAAGCACCGCAACAGGATCAGTATTGGGTACCATTTGAATTCCCAAGAGCTTCCTTTTCTTCAGTTAGATTAATGACAGTAGCACCAGACAGTATTTATAAAGTGCTTATACCATTGCCAAGCACAGTTTTAAAGCACTTTGCATGCATTGACCCACAGGTACTACTGTATTTACATCTCTAACAATTTAAATGAAGCACAGAGAAATCAAACAAGTTGCCACGGGCAGCACAGCCCCTGACTGGTGGACCTCTGATACAAGTCCAGGCAGTCTGCCTCCAAAGCTCAGGACATACTGCTATCTTCTTATGAACTATTTAAAACAAATCTTACTAGTGGCAAATTGTATAAATAATGAAAAACAAATGAAAAAGTAGCTGAGATATGATCAATGTACAGTAAGTTACACACGTTAGAAGTGAATTTTAAAAAAGAAAAACAAAACTAGAGGCATCACAATTCCAGGTTTCAAGTTATATTATAAAGGGGTAGTAATTAAAACAGTATGATACTGGCAAAAAAATGGACACATAGATCAATGGAATAGAATAGAAAAGCCAGAAATAAACACACAGTTTTATGGTCCATTAATCTTCGACAAAAGAGGAATGAATATGCAATGGGAAAGACATTCTCTTCAACAAATAGCGTTGGGAAAACTGGACAGCTACATGCCAAAGAGTGAAACTGGATCACTGGATTAAAGATCTAAATGTGAGACCTTAAACCATAAAAATCCTTGAAGAGAGCACAGCAGTAATTTCTCTTACATTGGCTGTAGCAAATTTTTCTAGATATGCCTCCTGAAGCAGGGGAAACAGAGCAAAAATAGACTATTGGGACTATATCAAGATGAAAAGCTGCACTGTGAAGGAAACAATCAACAAAGCTAAAAGGCAACCAACTGAATGGGAGAAGATATTTGCAAATGACATATCCAGTAAAGGATTAGTATCCCAAATATATAAAGAACTGATACCACTCAACACCCCAAACCAAATAATCCTATTAAAAATGGCAGAAGATACGAACAGACATTTCTTCAAAGAAGACATCCAGATGGCCAACAGACACATGAAAAGATGCTCAACATCACTTATCATCAGGGAAATGCAAACCAAAACTACAATGAGATATCACCTCACACCTGTCAGAATGGCTAAAATTAACAACACAGAAACAAGTGTCGGTAAGGATGTGGAGAAAATGGAACCCTCCTGCACCATTGGTGGGAATGTGATCTGGTGCAGCTACTCTGGAAAACAGTAATGAGGTTCCTCAAAAAACTAAAAATAGAACTACCCTACAATCTAGTAATCACACTACTGGGTATTTACCCAAAAAATACAAAAACTCTATTTCAAAGGGATACATGCACCTCTATGTTTATTGTAGCATTATTTACAATAGCCAAATTATCGAAGCAGACCAAGTGTCCATTGACAGATGAATGGATTAAGAAGGTGTGGTATATATACACAATGGAATATTACTCAGCCATAAAAAGAATGAAAGCTTGCCATTTGCAACAACATGGATGGAGCTAGAGAATATAATGCTAAGTCATAAGAGAAAGACAGATACCATATGATCTCATTCATATGTGGAATTTAAGGAACAAAACAAATGAACAAAGGAAAAAAAGAGAGAGAGAGAGGAGAGACAAACCAAGAAAAAGACTCTTTTTAAAAAAATTTTTTATTGTTATGTTAATCACCATACATTACATCATTAGTTTTTGATGTAGTGTTCCATGACTGTTTGTGCATAACACCCAGTGCTCCATGCAGAACGTGCCCTCTTTAATACCCATCACCGGCTAACCCATCCCCCCCCATGCCCCTCCCCTCTAGAACCCTCAGTTTGTTTTTCAGAGTCCATCGTCTCTCATGGTTCGTCTCCCCCTCCGATGTCCCCCCCTTCATTCTTCCCCTCCTGCTATCAAGAAAAAGACTCTTAACTATAGAGAACAAACTGGTGGTTGCCAGAAGGGAGCTGGGTGGGGGAATGGGTGAAATAGGTGATGGAGATTTAAGAGTACACCTAACATGATGAAAATAAAATAAAACTTACGTAAAAAAATTTTTAAAAAGTGGGTTGCATACAGTCACTCTGGAAAAAAAAGTGAATAATCTAATGCGTTTCCCATATGAAGACACTTGTGATGCCATTATCATGTTACATTCAGTATGATCTCAGGTATGCATATATGTATATAGAAAATGCAGAGGAAAGAGATATACCAAATGCTAAGAATGCTCTCTGGGTGATAGGATCATGGGTAATTGAAAATCTGTACCTTTCGAGATGTTTCTAATTTCCTACAAAGAATATGCACTACTTTGGGGTGCCTGGGTGGCTCAGTCGGTTAAGCATCTGCCCTTGGCTCAGGTCATGATCCTGGAGTCCCAGGATCAAGTCCCGCATTGGGCTCCCTGCTCAGCGGGGAGTCTGCTTCTCCCTCTGCCCCTCACTCCACTCTCTCTCGCTCTCTCTCTCAAATAAGATCTTTAAAAAAAAGATTTTATTTATTTATTTGACAGAGAGAGACACAGCGAGAGCAGGTACACAAGCAGGGGAGAGTGGGAGAGGGAGAAGCAGGCTTCCCGCCGAGCAGGGAGCCCAGTGCGGGGCTTGATCCAGGACCCTGGGATCAGGAGCTGAGCTGAAGGCAGGCGCTTAACGACTGAGCCACCCAGGCGCCCCTCAAAAAAATAAAAACTTAAAAAAAAAAAAAAAAAGAATATGCACTACTTTAAAAAGTTAGAACAAGGGGCGCCTGGGTGGCTCAGTCGTTAAGCGTCTGCCTTCGGCTCAGGTCATGATCCCAGGGTCCTGGGATCGAGCCCCGCATCGGGCTCCCTGCTCGGCGGGAAGCCTGCTTCTCCCTCTCCCACTCCCGCTGCCTGTGCTCCCTCTCTCGCTGTGTCTCTCTCTGTCAAATAAATAAATAAAATCTTTAAAAAAAAAAAAAATTAGAACAACAAATGTAATATTTGTTTGTTTGTTTCTTTGTTTATTTGACAGAGAGAGACAGCAACAGCAAGAACACAAGCAGGGGGAGTGGGAGAGGGAGAAGCAGGCCTCCTGCCGAGCAGGGAGCCCGATGTGGGACTCGATCCCGGGACTCCGAGATCATGACCTGAGCCGAAGGCAGACGCTTAACAACTGAGCCACCCAGGCACCCAACAAATGTAATATTTTAAAGTAATGATGTGATGAATTAAAACTGAAGCCCCTAACCTTCTCCCCAGGCCCACCTCCCTGCAGGGATCACACCAGATCATTGTAAGCTCCAAAGAAGGGGCTGTGTGCAGCCTGGCCAGCCCCTCAGTCCCACCATACTTACTGTATTTCAGTTCCAAGATGCTTGAGGGAAATGTTCTGAAGGGCCAAGGGCATGGCAGGCACGGGCTGCAAGGCAGCCGCCACACCCACAAGCCCGGGGGGTGTTCGCACAGGGCACAGGAAGTCCTCCAGCTCTGCCTCCTCTTGCTCTGGGGAAAGAAGAAAAGGGCAGTCATCCACTTGGGTCACTGCACTTGGACACACTAGACAGAGGTGCTACAGGCTTAGCTCCCAGGTGGGAGTCGGGGGCTGCCCGAGCAAGCCTTCCTTGTAGGTTAAGAGCAGCCAAAGAGGCAGGCTTTTCATCATATGTTCTCCCAGGAAAATGATGCATCTTGCTGAGAAAGTCTTCCTGAAGACTCCGTTAAAATATGCAGAACTGCAGATACTTCTACCTCTGAGAATCCATCCTAAAAAAGTTATCTGATGCAGATAAAACTTTATGAACCAAGAGGTTCATCCTGGCCCTGTCTGGCCTCAACCTGGAAATAACTCCCTCAAACTGGAAGTAAAGATCTGGGGAGAGGTTAAATAAATCACGATGCCCTCAGAAAACAGAATATTATTCAGCCATTTAAAAGGATGCTAATGAAGAATGTTTAAGAACACAAGGAATAGGCATGATCCTCCATGATCCTGGAGGAAGGGCACTGGAGCAGGGCCTAGAGGGCAGGAAAGGATTTTGACCTGCCGAAGGAGTGAGGGAGGATCTTTCTGGGTGTGTAAGTACAGGCAGCAGCAAGGGGTTCCAGGCCCAGAGCTGAGGATGCTGGGAGGGACCAGAGGAGACAAGGCTCGGAAGGACAAATGGGCAGGGGAGTGCTAAGAGGGGAGCTCATCTGGCTGGACCCACAGGGCCCTCTGGGGGATTCAACAGAAGCCCCAAGGAATCTGGCCTACAGCTGTGGAGTTGGAAGACCTGAAGCCAAATCATGGTTCTGTTGGAAGGGTGCTATGACCAGGCTGGAAATCACATTTTCTCTTCCAGCCTCAGGTTCCACATTTTTAAAATGGGAAGTATACTCCCCACCCTGTCTCTTGCAGAGATCAAGGATATGAACATATTTAGAAAACCATAAAGCCCCATTCTGTGGACTTGCATCTTTCAACAGTAGTCTTTAACCCAGACTTTGAGTTGATTCAAAATAATTAAGGTCTTCTGGTTTATCAATACTTTAACCATCTTTATTCTCCCTCATTCAGAGCAAAAACATGTACAATGTGTCTCAGATTTTAATGTCTTGGCAAGTACTTCCCCTAACTGCCAACATCTGTTTTAACTTCCACCTGTGGCCCTAAATCTCCTTTGAGGTCACACCAACTAAGCCTTGGCGGTAAATGTCACCGCTGGTTGGATTCACCAGGGAGGAAACAGTGGCTCAGAAGGCTTCTGGTGGCCAGGGTCACACAGCCGGCAGCCGAGCTGCGCACTCACAGTTCCTTGCTTTGCCACTAAAACTATGTGGCTTGTCAGAGCAGGCTTTGTGACAGGCAGACGGTTCCAAGAAGGGAGGGGCTGCCCCCGGAAGGCACCAGCCCCCAGTGCACGGAGGTCTTCAAGGGACAGCTACAGTGGTGATGCTACAGTGAAGGTCAGCACTTCCTGCAGGAAACAGAACTGATTGCCCAAGGCTCTGGTCTGGGTCATACCCTCAGTGAGGAGAAATACCCTCAGTGAGCAGACCACACACGGAATTCTCGGCAGCATTTATTTGTAATTCTCCCTGTGCCTGAGCTGCAGGCACTGCTCTAACACCAGGAGGAAGTCACTGCCCAGTGAAAGGGGCCTGGGCCAGCAGGTCACATCCCGGCCGGGCCCTGTCCGCAGGTGCTTCCTCAGCACGAGGAGAGGGTTGTGAGCCTGCAGACTAGGGTTCAAATTTCAGTGCTGACATTTCCTTGCTCTGTGACTTTGAACAGCTCCCTTGGCCTCTGTGGGCCTCAGTTCCCTCTTCTGTAAGATGGGAACAACACTACCTTATAACATTGATGTGAGATTAGATAACATGATGCGTGTAAAGTGTTATAACAGTGTAAGTGGTATGCATATTTTTATGATAATATATACTTACAAGAGTGCTATTTTATGTAAATTGGGTCCTACTTGGGCAACATATAAATTATAAATTGGTTTGCCCTTGATCTTTCTCAGCTCTTGTGGAGATCAATGTTTCGGTAAAGCATAAAATAAAGGTATAAACGTTTAAAAGCTGTAGAGAAGCGAACATGACTTGCAGATTGCTCAACAGCAGTGATAGGACACTTCTTACAAGATGAAATGTCTGTGACTCAAAGTCAGATGTGAGTCAGTTGATTTTCACTGCTCTAGGAGCAGGCTCTGCTTCCTCCCAGGAAGGGTGGAGACTGGAGGTGGGGCAACCTGCTCCAGACAGCTAATCCAGGGCCTCCCAGCTTGCTCACAAGTCCAGAAACGTCCTTCTGGGTGGGCTGGGGAAGGTTTTGCAGGGACCTGGTGAGGGAGGGTGAAGGCTTGCCGTGGGAGGAGAAAGGCTTCAGGAGAAGCCCACAATCCCAGCTTCCTGCGTCTCCCACCAGTGTCCTCCTTGGACAACGTCCTCCCCGCCATGTCCCCAGCAGGGGCTGGCCCAGAAGAGGCCCACTAGGTGTGCTAAACCAAAGCCACAGAATTCAAGAGCTTGGAAAGAGTTCAGCACAGTAGAAGAACCTGTGGGATCCCAAAGCCATTTTAGTTCCAGACATACAAGATTTCGGTTATCAGGAGAGTGTCTCGTTGCTTCTAATTTGAGGCTGATCTCCAGCAACTGTGCTCACTCAGGCTGCAGTTCTGCACTCAGCCAGGGTGTCTGGCTCTCTGGCAGATGGGGACTAGAGGGTGGAATGGAAGTACAGAAGCACAAACAAATCCCTCCCCAAAGAAAGCCCTTACAAGCATGAAACACCCAGAAGGTTCTTGGAGGAAATGACTGATAATTATTATTAACACTAAACAACAGCCGTTATTATGTACGTGTACACATGTAACAACCACTTTATTAGGACAGCTACTATGCATTGAGCTATTACTATGTGCCTGGCATTAGGCTAAGGGTTTTACGTTCCCTTCCTCATTTAATAATAAAATCCAATGCATTCGCTCACAAATATCCAATGTACCAGGCAGGGCACCCGGTACCAGGGACATAAGTGACAAAGACATGGCCCCCGCCCCTGGGGGCAAAGACTGACAAGGATGCTATAATGAGAACACAACGTGACAGGCCTTGTTAGAACCATGTGAACAAAGTGTTGAGGGCTCATACAGAGTCCAGCTGGCAGAGTGCTGGGGGGCTTCCAAGGGGAGGCTGGCAAGAGCAGGAGGCAACACTGGAGCGTGGCTATAAAGAACAAGCAGGAATTTGCCAGGCAGACACGCTTCTGGTGCTGCTGAAGCTCACGGCACGAGGTGGGCATTGGGGGGAGCAGGCAGAGGTGAGACAAGAGAGGACGAGCCCTGAGCATTGTGCTGAAAAGCTGGGCCTGGGACGTGGTGGGGGGCCTTGCGAGGGGACGGGGCTCCAGCACTCATTTCAGAAAGCCCACTCGGGCCGCAGTGGGGAGGATGGGTCCGAGTTGGCAGGCTGCCGCGACATGGGACACGGGCCAGGGCCGAGGAGGCTGCTGGGGCTTTCCCGCTAGGAGCTGGGGCCTGACCCGGGGCACTGGCAGCGAGCAGGGGCCGGAGGGCAGGCACGGCCAGCACGGTCACAGACCGGCTTGGCTCACCACCGAGACTGCCGAAGGGGCAAGGGGCGAGGGCGGCGCCCTGTTTGGCAGCAACCGGGTAAGTGAAGGGCCATTTCAAGGGGGGAAGGAAACTGGGGGAGCAGAGGGTCAAGGGCAGATGAGCTCGGTCTGGCACAGGTAGAACACCCAGGTACAGAGATCTAGAGGTGCCTGGCCACAAGTCGTGCCCTGGCCTCTTCGGCCTCCCTGTTACCACGCCGCAGCGCGGAGCTGTGACAAGTCTCCAAGCTCTTACGGGGGCAGCGGGGGTGCTCTGTCCCGATTCTCAACCTGCCAAGCACACTGCCAGCCACGCCCCGGCGTGGGGTGGGAGGGTATGATCTCCAGGACTCCTCCACGCTGAGGGTGTCCTAGGACTTGGGACCGAGAAACTTCCTTTGCGGCCCACGTGGGGGTGAAGGATTCTGCTTACGGGACCACTACGGATAAAACCACTGCTCTACCCAACTCGCAGCACAAAAGCCTACGTGTCAGAACAGCAACAATAGCTGCATTTCTCACTAACCTTCCTCAGAGCAACCCTGTGCGAGTTTCTCCAGAACTTCCCGTAACAGTCATCGAACTAGCAGCTGCCGTTTCCTGAGCTCGGACAACGTGCAGGCCTTGTTTCAACCACTCCAGGTGCATGGATTCACTGAGTTCTCATAATAACCCTAAGAAGTGGGTATGACTTATGAAGCTCATTTTATACGGAAGGAAACTGAAGCTCAGAAAGACTAAGCGCACAGGATTAGGATTTGAAGCCAGACGTCCTGGCCTCAGAGCCCCTATTCCTGCCCTCGAGGCTACACTGTGTCCTAACTGATCCTGACTCACCCCCCTGGCTCTTTGCTTCTTTAGCAGAGGCTCCCCCGGCTCACTCCCAACAGGAGGGGCAAGGTTTGGTCACCACGAGCCTTGGGGGTGCGGGCAGGAGGCGAACCCACTGGTTACCTAGCTCGAGGCGCAGGGCGGGCCCGTTGGCAGCCAGGGCGGCATCGGGGGTGGCGGGAGGCGCAGGCGGGCTGCTGTGGAACTCCCAGCGCTTCATCTGCAGCTGCTGCAGCCAGTACAGCATCACTTGCTTGGTGGCAGCCTGAGAAGCACAAGGGTTAATCGGTATGGCCCTGTGCCCTCACGTGGCACTGGGTCTGCGACGCGGGAAGGTCCCAGGAGGCTTGGTAATTTTCTCCCTCCCAGAAAAAAAAAAAAACAAAAACTGTCACGGCCGATGGGTGCCCACCTCTGAAACACCACCCGCTTCTTGGCCACAGAAGAGAATCAGGATCGGTCCCAAACCCTGAGGTCCCTTAACCTTTCTGGGGCTCAGTTTCCTCATCTGTGCTAGGACGGCGACAGCCATGAGGTAAGGAAGGTGAAGCGCTCAGCACAGTAGCTGACTCACTGCAGGTGCTCAAAACGGGGTCACTGGACAAGGGCCTTTGGGGGCAGTAAAAGACAGGGAGAGAACTTTGAAAGTCTGGCCTGGTTGGGGGGGGGCTGGCACCATTACCATCTCCCTTTGCGACATCTCAATGTCTTAACTGACTGTGATATGGTGATTTATAAGAAACATATATCTGGTCATTCAAATGACCAAAAGCATATTTTTCATATGTATTTGATCTTTGTCCATGGTTTCTGGCTCACAGCTCCTAAATCCCTTAGAATTTCCTGGGATAAGGGCGATAAAGATGACTTTTGTTGTTTTAATACAGTAACTCTTAGAAAGCCCTTAGGTAACCTAATGATGGGGGTGCTGGGTGCCAGGAGAATCAATCATGTGATTAGGCTTGGAACTTTCAGTCCCATCCGCCTCCCTCCCAGGAGGGGAGAGGGGCTGGAGGCTGAATGGGAGAATGGCCAACGACTTAGTCAACATAACTATGTAATGAAGCCTCCCTAAAAACCCAAAGGACTGGGTTTGGAGAGCTTCTGGGCTGGTGAACATGGAAATGTGGGGAGAGTGGCGTACCCAGAGAGGGCGTGAACACTCCTGCCCTTCCCTAGACCTTGCCCTGTGCATCTCTTCATCAGCCTGTTGACTGGTATCCTTTCTCACATCCTTTAATAAACTGGTGAATGTAAGTGTTTCCCTGAGTTCTGGGAGCTGCTCTAGCAGACTAATGGAACTTAAGGAGGAGGTCATTGGAAACTCCAATCTGTAGCTGGTTGTCAGACACACAAGTAACAGTCTGGAGCTTGCCACTGGCATCTGAAGCAAGGTGTGGGAGAAGTCTTATAGGACTAAGCCCCTTAACCTGTGGAATCTGAGGCTGTCTCTGGGTAGACAGTGTTAGAATTGAGTTGGGGGTGCCTGACTGGCTCAGTTGGTAGAGCACACAACTCTTGATCTCAGAGTTGTGAGTTTGAGCCCTACATTGAGCATGGAGCCTACCTAGAGAAAGAGAGAGAGAACTGCTTGGTGTTGTGGGGGGGCAGTGGTAGGGGGACCCTCCATGTCCCACGTTGGAACTGGGTCCAGGAAACTTAAAAGACTGACTTTTTATGGAATGGAGAGAAACCCTCCTCTGTTTTGGGGATGCACCAAAATCATGGATATGACTGGGGATTGGAAAGCCATATGCACACAGTAACGACACAGTGGCACCCTTCAGGTACCCCAAACAAGGCAATGGTTGATGATGGTCATTAGTCTCCCTGGATGATCCAAATACCTACTTTCCCATCTATTCTGTTGCTGGATCCTCCAGGAGGGACCAGCCCTTCTACAGATGGAGAACTAAGGCTCTGAAGTTGCTCAGGCAGGTGGTGGCGGAGCTGGTCCCAGAACGTGGATCTCCCCCTTTGGACCAGAGCTTTGTGGTCATTTACGGCCCAGACTGTGGCTTACCTAGAGAAGGCCTGGGATCAGTTGGGCCAAGGAAGCCAGGCAGCTGGCTGGGAGTGGATGGTAAGCCTCACAGAGCTGCCTACAACGCCATGTGAGAACAGCGGCAGGCGGCAGGCTATGGGGCAACCAGGGCAGGCTCCCCCTTCTGAGTGGTCCACAGGTAAGGTGTGCACGAGGCCAGGGGGCTCCATGAAAGAGGCCCTAGGCCTGTCAGAGAGGTACCACGTAAGATAAAATAAAATGTTGCCCACCAGTCTTCTCATTCTATACACTCTCCCTGAGAGACCCTCAGCCCCTCCCAGGCCTTCACCATGACCTTGAGCTAACAAGCTCCAGCCCATACCCAAATGCCCCATTTTATTAATTCACTGGACAGGTGTATATTAAGCACCTACTGTACGTGTCATGGTCCCATCCTCTTGGAACTTAAGAGTCTACTGGGTGGGTGTCCTACGGCCTCCCTCATTCGTGACTGGCCCAGCTGGACAGTCAGCCACCCCTGACTCCTCCCTTGCATTCTAAGTTTTTCTCTATCCCACAGCCACATTGAGCCTTCTAAACATTTTAATCTCACAGAGCTTCCTTGCTTAAAGCTCTTTGACAATTTCCCACAGCCCACAGGACAAAGTCCAAGCTCCCAGGCCTAACTCACAAATGCCCTATGCTGCGGCCCCTGCTCTCCCACTCCAACTTTTGGGCCCCTCTGTACCCCAGGCTCCTGTGATTGGCCAGGACACTCTGGGCTGTATCATGTTTCCTGTCTTTGCCCATGGGGCTCTCATGGCCAGGAATACCCTTCTCCCTCTTGTCTGCTTGTAGAAAACCAAATCCCTTTTTCAGGCCTCAGATGTCATCTCCTCCTCTGTGCTTCCCTCCTGGGTGGACCCTTCTGCTCAGTAGAACCACACTTTGCTGGTACAGACCTAGCGTCTCTACAGAACATTTCACTGTGTGTGCCAGTCTCCCTCAGTTCCCTTATCCCCGCAGTAAGCTGTTGGAGAACCTGGGGGCAGGTATGATTTGGCTCCATGCCCCAGTGCTTTGCACAGAGCCAGGCACAAAGAGATCAAGGGAACAGTAAAAGACATGTGTTGGAGATCCAGTAGACAGCACTCAGCCTGTGTGGGAGGGGACACATGACCCATAACCTACATGACCTCTAAAATGCCTTCCCTGGCCTGGAATTCCAGGTTTGCCTTATTTTATCTGATTTTCCCAGCCTGGTCACCACCCAAGCCCAGCCATTAAAGGGGAACTGAAACTATGGGCTACATCCAGAGGCTCAACAGATGTCCAGTTGGCTGGGAGTGGGGGTGAAGGGGCAGAAGACGGGGTGGGGTCGGGGAGGCTGTCTCCTGGCACAGTCTTCTCTGATGAGTGTGAATCCCAGAACTCTTAGCCCAGATTTGTCTTTCCACTCTTTTTTTTTTTTTAAAGATTCTATTTATTTATTTGAGAGAGAGAGAGAATGAGAGAGAGCACATGAGAGGGGGGAGGGTCAGAGGGAGAAGCAGACCCCCCGCCGAGCAGGGAGCCGGATGCGGGACTCGATCCAGGGACTCCAGGATCATGACCTGAGCCGAAGGCAGTCGCCCAACCAACTGAGCCACCCAGGCGCCCTGTCTTTCCACTCTTGACATGAACATTATGACCTTGGTTCTTTCACCATGTGGGTTCATTAAATAGGAATTTATTGAGCACCCACTAGGTGCTAGGCTGTATCTAGATGCTGGGATTAATTCAACAATTTGTAGGTGCCAGATGCTTACACACCTTGTTTTAAACCTCACAAACTACCTAGATTCTAAGAGGTTAAGTAATTTGCCCAGGGTGACACAGCTAGTAAGCAGCTGATGTAGAATTTGAATCCAAGCCTGTCTGAGTTCAAAGCACATGGCCTTTCCACTGTTTCAGGCCTTCTCAGTTAAAGGTGATAATAAAACAAAACCTACTGATGGTAAAACACGTTAAGACACGCCTCTATGAACATTCTAGGCTGATCTGAAAAACCAAAGTATTTTATCTCCCAATCCCCGCCAATGTTTGCTAAGCATTCACTCCTCTTGGCCAAAATGTCAAGAAAAGTGATTCAGAATCCGGGCCACGAGAGGATTGCACAGTTCATATTTTGACTGTATTTCAGCCCCAAGTAAGAAAGTTAAGGTAATTGCATTGTTAAGGCACACCAAAAAGTAAGTTTTGATACAGTACTGAGAGGTAGAAAGACTCAGGGATTTCAAGTGTGGGCTACACCACTCTGGAGATGCATGACCTCTGGCTGGTCACTTCGTCTCTCCAAGACTCTGTTTCTTGATTCTAATATGGGTACATCATCCCAGCTTTTGTCGTGGGAGCCCAATGAGGAAATGGGTGTGACTGCGTTTTGGAATGCACTAAACCCTGGCCACCCAGGGTTCACTGGGGGAGATCAGAGCCTGTGATCCTTGTTCCAGTAAATTTACTGTGACCACCCACACGTGCCCAGCCGTGCCCTGGGAACTCACCCTGGCTGAAAAATTAAAAAACTGCTCCATTTACCTTCAGCGTAATAATCCGGCTGGGAGTCTTGATTTCAAAAGTTCCCTCCTCGGCGTCCGCCTTGCAGTCAAAGACCGCACTGGAGAGGTCGATGCTGTCCAAGGAACTGGCATCCTGCGCGGTCCGCGAATAATACAGGAGACATTTCTTCTCGTCGTAGAAGAACCAGCGGGATTTCCAGCCCCGAATGGGCCCTTTGCCGCCAAATTTACTTAGATAGCCACAGAGTTTCTTGGGGGCCGCCTCCAAGGAACGGGCGCAGCCCTCCGACTCCTCTGCAGGCAACACCTCGGGGCCTCCGGCCGAGCCGGCAGGCTCTTCGGACCTGGGGACGGAGGAGCTAGACTCTGCGGGGTTCTCGTGGGCGCCCTCCATCGCCGCTAGAGACCGCCGACGTTCTGGAAGCCAGCAGCCAGCTCCGGCCCAATCTCGGAGACTCAGAGGGTGCTTCCCAAGAGGAAGAAATCTGGGCGGGGGCGGGGCCAGTAGCGACCCGCCCCCCGGAGACGGCTAGAACGCGGACCTTGGCGGTTAACTGCGCCTTTGACTGAAAGCCCAGGTGGGGCGGCTGGCTACGCCCCTCCCGGTCTCACTGCAGCCAGGCCACGCCTTCGGCACGCCCTCTGCCAGCACCGCCCATCCCGCCTGCTTCCGGCTTTTACTCCACGCCTGTCAGCCATCGTTAGTGAGGGTAGCTGCGGCTCGTGAGGGGGCCCTCAGGTTGAAGGCGTGGTGTCATTGAGCTAGGTTAACTGGCGGCAGAGAAGCGGGAAGAGACACCTGTCTCTAACTAAGCTGCCTTGGTAACTCCCGTAATAACGTAGAAGGACGGTCTTTCTTGCGTCCGCCTTTACCCGCAGGTGCGGTGAGGGTTACCATCGGACGGCGCATTCCGCGGCCATTGGCTGAGAGGGACGCCGGCTCGATGACGCCACTTCCGGCGCAGCTCTGGGAGCTCACGAGTCTGGGGCCCCTCCCGGAGGCTTCTATCCGGCGTTTGTTTAGCACCTTGGTGACTCTTCGCTGACCGCCGCGGACTCCGTGCATCTGCCCCAGCTTCTACTCGCCTCCCTCCGCGAGGCGCGCAGGCCCGGCTGCTGCTAAGTGATGATGCTGAAAAACTAAGTAATATATTTGCAAACCAGCTCTGGTGTTTTACAAAGAATTATATAGTACATCTAGAAGGAGTTATTTTAGAGATGCAGGGGTATTTTAATAACTAGAAAAAAATTACATCTGAAGTGCAAAAACAAGCATTTTAATATTTTCTAAAAAGGTACGTGATCAAATTCAACATCTATTTCTGAAGTTTAAAAATGTCTATTATGGAAATATAGTTGGCACACAATGTTTCAGTTTCTTAATAAAACAAATAGCACATCCTGTTCTAGATTTTTCTAGCGAAATATTAGATATTTGAAAGAATAATTATAATAATTTCAAATATACGACCTACGACTGAAAAACTCAAGAGTTTTCCCACTAATATTCCAGGATCTAATTCAGGATTCAACATTTGGTCGTCATGTTCCCTTAGTCTCCTCTGAACTATGACATATTTCAGCTTTTCCTTGTTTTTTTTTTTTTTTATGACCCTGACATTTTTGAAGGGTACTGGGTCAGCTATTTTGTAGAATACTGTGAATTTGGGGTTGTCTGGTGTTTTCTCATGATAGACTGGGGTGATAGGTTTTGGGGGAGACTACCACAGAGGGGAAGTGCCCCTCTCATAATATCCAGCTATGTGATATACATATGGTGATGGTAACCTCCATCACTTAGTCGAGATGGTTTCTGCCAGATTTCATGGCTATAAAGTTACCTCAACAGAATAGAGTCACTGAGTCTTCACCACAAGAAGCTCCACCTTCTGGCGGGTGTGGGGGCACAGTTGATAGGATTTTTTACAGTCTTTTAGAAGTTCATTTCCAAGAGTGAACAGGTGAGGGTAGCCAAATTTTTGAAGAAAAAAGAGCAATTAAAAAGGATTTGGCCTACTAGATATTCAAATTTTTAATTCAACCAAAAAGTATTTCGTGGGCGCCTTCTGCCAGGCACCATTTAAAATGCAGGGCCACAGTGATGAACAGGACAACCCTCAGACACCACTGGGCTGTCATTCTAGTCCAAGGAGACAGGCCATTGACAGGTAAACAAGTAAATGATCATGGTGACCTCAGATTCTCATACTTTCTAGGAAGGAAATGAACAATGGTAAGAACAAAAGAATTTAGTGTTTTCTAGTACAGGGACAGGCACATAATGGAGTAAAGTAAATTCAGAAAAACATATAAATAAGTGTAGGAATGTAGTACAGGGCAGGGTTTCTCAACCCTTTTTACCATTATTATCCCTAAAGGAAACTTTTCAGACTTTTCCCCTAATCACCACCTCCCATAAAATTTTAACACCACAGATATAATATGTATCTCTTTATGTACTGCATGTTTGTCTGTGCTTTATACATAAAAAAGAGTAGGATTTTCTTTTGTACCCCAAGAGCCAATTTTCAAACCCTTGGGGCTGATGTTGTCCCTATTGAGAATTCATGGTATTGGAGTGTAAGATGAAGTTAGAATTTCAAATCAGTGGGGGACATGATGAAATATTTAATAAGTTAGTTTAGATATTCACCTAATACGTTATATCAAAATAGTATTGATGTAGATTAGAAAAGTATGCATAAAAATGAAACCATAATATACAATCAAATGGAGTGTTACTCAGCCTTAAATAGGAACAAAATTCTGACAGATGCTATAACATGGATGAACCTTGAAAATTTCTGCTAAGCAAAATAGACAAGACCCAAAAGGACAAATATTGTGTAGTTCCACTTACATGAATTACCTAGAATAGGCAAATTTCTTTATGAGAAAGTGTGATAGAAATTACTAGGGGTTGGAGGAGGGAGAGATGAGGAATTACTATTTAATGGGTACAGAGTTTGTTTGAGATGATGAAAAACTTCTAGAAATGTATAGTGGTGATGGTTGTAGAATACTATGAATGTGCTTGATGGCACTGAATTGCCACTTAAAAATGGTTAAAATGATAAAAAAAATGAAACCATAAAACACTCAAAGAAAATAAAGGCTAATATTTATATAATCTTGGATCGAGGGAAGAAAGACCTTTATGAACACATCAAAAAACAGCACCCAGGGACGCCTGGGTGGTTCAGTCGGTTAAATGTCTGCCTTTGGCTCAGTTCATGATTCCAGGGTTCTGGGATCGAGTCCTGCACTGGGCTTCTTGCTCAGTGGTGAGCCTGCTTCTCTTTCTGCCTGCCACTTCCCTTGCTCATGCATGCGCACGCTCTCTCTCTCTCTCTCTCTGACAAATAAATAAAATCTTAAAAACAAACAGCACATAGAATTTAAATATGTATTTATATATGTATTACATATGTATGTGTATAAAAGATTGGAAAGATGATGCATAATGTTGGTAGCATTTTCTCTAGGAGGTAAGATGAAGAATAATTTTCATTTTCTTCTATTTGCTTTTCTATATTTTCCACAGTTTAAAAAAATATAATTTAAATCTTTAGATAAATGTACTCATAAGTACATATCTGTTCCTGTTTTTAAGTTGCTCCAAAGTTGAATATAATTCCTTAATTCAAGAATGGGGATCATACAGACCTCTGGGTATAAAATAAAGAAGTCACGGGGATAAAAAGTCCAGCAAGGGGAATATCATCAATAGTGTTGTGATAACTTTGTATGGTGACAGATGGTGACTATACTTATTGTGGAGAGCATTAAAGAAAAAAGTAAAAGAATGGAGATCATAAACCTTTTCTCCAATCTCTACTCCTATAGGAAACAATCGAGAGTCACATACAAAAAGCAGATTAAGCTAAGGAGCTTTCTTAGAGAAAGAAATACATAACATCCAACTCTTGGGAGTTGTAGATTAAGGACACAGTCTAGAACACTCTCACTGTGGTAGTAAAGAGTTGGAAGGGGTAATGCAGGTCTCTCAACTTTTCCACCTTGTTACAGATTGAATTGTGTCTCCTCTAAATTCATATGTTGAAGCCCTAACGGCCCCCTCCCCCAGTACCACAGAATGTGACTATTTTTGAAGATAGGGCCCTTAAAGACGTAATTAATGTAAATGATATAATTAATGTAAAATGAGGTTCCAATCTGACTTATAAGAGGAGAAGATCTGTCTACAAACAAAGGAGGCAGGCCTCAGCTGAAATCAGCTCTGTCGACTCCTTGATCTTGGATTTCTAGCCTCCAGAATTGTGAGAAAATAAATTTCTCTTGTTTAAACCACCAATCTGTACTTTGCTTGGCAGCCCCAGCAACAAACACACACCCCTAACAATAAAATGAGCTTCCTTGGAAACCCATCCAAGACACAGCCCAAAGTGGCTTAGAGCACCCATGAAAACTCCCTGAAGCCTTCTTTTATAAACATAAACAAATACAAATTCATATCAGACACTTTCGTCTAAAATATTTACACTAATTTCCAAAAAGCAAAATAGTCACACCGTACTCCCAAGCACCTCCACTCTGAAGGATGTTGGGAGGGGCAGGACATACAGTTCCCAGTTGGGGTGGTAGGTGTCAGGAAACCTGGCCACTGGAATTTCCACTGGCCGATTACAACCTTTCTGGGCTTTGGTTTCTTCATCTGTAATACAGGGATCATAATCCATCTCCAGGACATCCCACTGAATGTTTGTGAAGACCAAGAGGTAATGATGGAAAATTTTCACGTCAGTATTCCTAATCTGTAGTAATACCAACAGGCTTGGTTTTGCTCCAGAGGAAAAGAAAAGAAAAAGAAAAAAAAAAAGATTTAAGTTTTCAGTTTAGGGAAATTTCCTTTGATCTAGATACATTAATTGCTGTGTATTCTAATAAATGCACTTCGGTTTATTACATCAAAATATAGTTAACATCCCTCTCCTCCCCTCCTATCCTTCTGTGAGAATATTAACTGCCAAGCAAGACGTTGTCAGAAAGCGACGCCTTGTGGCCTTTGTTCTGTACTGCCCCTGGGTATATTGGGTGTTCTCAGTTTTGTCAAAGGGCTTAAAAGAGGCACCAAACAATACCCTTTTCCCCTACAACATATCCAAAACAGGCAGGTTAATAATTTGACATCCTTTTTAAAAAAGATTTACTTATGTATTTGAGAGAGAGAGAGAACAAGCAGGGGGAAGGGCAGAGGGAGAGAGAGAATCCCCAAGCCGACTTCCTGCTGAGTATGGAGCCTGACCCGGGGCTCAATCCCAGGACCAAGATCATGACCTGAGCTGAAAGCAAGAGTCAGCTGCTCAACCGACTGAGCCACCTAGGCACTCCAATAATTTGACATCCTGAGGTCAATATATTTTACATATCCCTTCAATCCATTTATTTAGTGAGGGCAAGAGAAATGGATTTTCTATCAACAAAATCATGTATTTCTTTGTGCTCAGTGTAAGGGTTTATTACATGCACTAATGAACATCATTATGCTTCAAATTATTTGGAGTTTTCTTCCTTGTCAAATTTTTTCCTCCTCTTACTATGGGATAATTTCAGTTCTCTTATTAAGGAAGGAGTACAGTCTTATTGAAAATATGTTTTTAAAATTTTAGGCTTTCTGGGACGCCTGGGTGGCTCAGTCGGTTAAGCGTCTGCCTTCGGCTCAGGTCATGATCCCAGGGTCCTGGGATCGAGTCCTGCATCGGGCTCCCTGCTCCGCGGGGAGCCTGCTTCTCCCTCTGCCTCTGTCTCTCTCTCTGTCTCTCATGAATAAATAAATAAAATCTTTAAAAAAAAAAAATTTTAGGCTTTCTGGTCAGCAAAACATCATCATATCCTTTCTAAGAGATCTATTTTTGAGTAATATAATTTTCAATTGATAATAAGCCCAAAGAATTCATATTTATTTGGCA